TGATGCCTGATACCTGATCCTGTCAACACCTCATGATCACACAGGCTGGTGTGCTTCTTCCATGTGGGCTTGTTACTTCTCTGCTACATGGCCACTTGTTTAACTTCAAGCCTTTAAGACCCAAGATGCTATATCTTTTGATAGCCCGGCACCATCAGCTTTCTTCACCACATTTGCTTATGCACCCTCTTTGCCTTCAGCGACCGTGTCCAGAGGGTGGTTAGAACAAAGTGTTCTCGTCTTGAGGGAGGGCTTGAGCAGAGGCCTCAATTCATATTGGTTTTATATGCAACTTGTTCTTTCATTGGTTGTTTGAGAAGACTTTGTGGAACTGAAATACAAAGCCAAGAAATCACTTATCCCTATCAGTTTAGGTCTTGCTGTAAGGTTCCGGGTAGAGTGTGTTAGCCAGGCTCACTAACCAGAATTCTCCGAAAAGGGGGCTTTAGAATCATTGGTCTGGCCCATTCACTTATCCTTCATAGTACTCTCCCATGTGATTAATCATGAACTGTTTTCATGTAGTGTTTTCAACCTTTAGTTTGACACTAAATAAAAAAACAAGAAAATCACTGTCATGAGGTCAATTCCCACTCATAATAACCTTCAAGGATGTAGTAGAACTGCCCTGTGAGTTTCCGGGGCTGTAACTCCTGATGGGATGGGAGAAGAACACCTCATCTTTCTCCCACAGTGCTATCGGTACTTTCAAACTGCCGACCTGGGTAGCAGCCCAACTAGTAACCCACAGTGCCACAGGGAGATGTAAAAATAAAGCTGTGGTGAAGTTCTTATCTTAAAGATTCAAAGTCAGGAGACTCGGCCCCAGTCCCAGCATCATCACCAAAGCTGGTGACCGACAACCCCTCTGATCTGACATTCTTCGGCACCAGGAAGGAGCTTAGGGCAGCTGACCTTTAAAGGCCAGTTCCACCTTTTAATGACACTACGCCTGCACGTTCTTGTTCCTGGGCTTCGAATCTTGTTCACAATACAGCCTGTTCGTTGCCTGCTTCTGTGAGCAGTGACTGGGCCCCGGACAGGCACAGTGGGCCCATTCCGCTTGTAGCCACTGGCCCTGACCTTGGCGGGTCACCCTGCCTCTCGAGGCCCCTCTGGTCACTCAGCTGTGAGGAAGGAGATGCCTGGCTGCTTCCTGCCTGTCTTGCGGGTTGTAAAGGCCAGGACAATATTACAAAGGGTGGATTTCTCCCAGGAATACCATGCCAGAGTCCAAGGCTTTTGCAGTCATTGCTATCCCGTTCAGGACTCGTGAAGGATGAGGAGGGAGGGTGCAGGTATAAGGGTGCCTTATACTGATGGCACCATGGACTGGAAAGAGGCCTTGGAACGCATCTAGAGACCCATTTCATTGACTGGTAAAGATGCAGGAACCAAAGACACTTCACTGATGAACTCCAGAGCTGAGTTTGATGTATAGTTGGAGCCAGAGCCTGATTCTCCTGACTCCCAGTCCAGGGCTCGCTCCATTACACCAAAATGGAGACCCCAGAACAGTGGTGCTCAACCTTCCTCATGCCGCGACCCTTTCATACAGTTCCTCATGTTGTGGTGATCCCCCAACCATGAAACTATTTTAATTGATACTTCATCACTGTCATGAATCAGGCGACCCCTGTGAAAGGGTCACTCAACCCCCAAAGGGGTTGCGACCCAGAGGTTGAGAACCGCTGCCGTAGAAGTAGCTCTTGGCTTTCAAAACCTTCAAAGGGAAGTATGTGTGTAACCGAGGCCTGTTTTGATTAGCTGCAAAAGAAAAAGGTTAACCAGGAAAGTTACTCGGTTTAGGCAAGGAGCCACTAGATCGAGGAGCCAGTAGATTGAGATCTGCTGCTAGCCTAAAGGTTGGCAGTTCCAACGTACTCAGAGGTGCCCCTTCAAAGAGTGGGCTGCAGACCAGAACTCTGCTTCCAGTATCTGCTGCCTGGCTCAGCATCCCCACCCTGCCCACTGAGGGATCCTGCCTGACCCGCTCACTGCCCTGGGGTTTGTGGTGGCCTCTAGGTCCCTGGCTGGAGGTCAGGTTAGCTAGGTAGCATCCCCCCCGCACACACACACATTCTGGTAAGTAGCTATGTGCTGAGTTCTCTGCTTTCTCCCCCTGTAGAGAGAAGACATGGGCCAATGTGCAGACCGTCTCCCTCTCCAGCATCTCCACCCTCCAATTCCAGGACATCGCTAGGACCAGTGAAAGCAAAAGCCTGCCTCAGCGGCCACAACTCTGCCAACAGCACCTCAAAGCCATTCAAAGCGCCCAAAGACAATCTACTTACCTCCAGCAGCAAACAGCACACAGTCTTTTCTGCGAAAGGATCAAGGGATAAAACATGGTGAGTGTTGAGTGCTGGGGAGACAGCCAACATCTGTCTCTCCCCAGCTGTCCCCACTGCTTGTCCCTGTCACCATGGGAAACACTGTCTCCCCTCTGGCGTTCTTCCTGGGCACCGTGTCCCGGAATCTGGGGAAGTGAGAAGGGAAGAGACGGAAACCTAGAATGATGAAATGAAGAGACCTGAATGTTAGGAGGGCTGCGGGGGGGGGGTGTTAAGATGCCATCTTGCCTGTGATGAGAATTTCTTTTTCTTTTCTTTGTTGAGAGCTGAGCCAAGTTGTGTCTAAGAAAAAGGTAACAGGGAAATACTCCTTGGTTATTCCATCATTCACCGCTCAATTTTCTGCCCCAGCAAAGAGTGTAAAGAAGCCAGTGCACACATAGGGGGCCCAGTGAGAGGCCAGGCCGGGCCCCTGCTCATAGAGCCTTCTTGCCAGAAGCAGCCAGGTCCCAGCAGAGGCAGGGGCTTGGAGCCGACCTCCGAGGCAGAGAGAAAAACCAAGGCACATGTCATCCCTTGGATGAGCTGGGAGAGCGCAGGTGCCAGGGGACTGGAATATCAGAGACGTTCGGTGTATCTTTTTCTCTTTTGGTCTTGACCAAAAAGTCAAAAGAGGTAGGCAACCTGTGGAATGAGCAGGTGGGGAAGCTAAGTGGACATCGAGGACAGACTTCCAATGCTGGCCATCAGGTCTAGAGTCCAGCCTCACGCCGTATAGCACTTAACGAAAGCCAGGTGCCATCAAGAGTGTGTGTTAGAGCAGGCCTAGGCTCCCTAGGGCTTTCAGTGGCTGACTTTTTCAGATGTTTCTTCTGAAAAAAGGCCTTTCTTCCTGAAGCACCTCTGGGTAAACTCGAACCTCCAGTCTTTGGGTTAGTACATTAACCATCGGCACCATGCAGGGCTCCTGGGACACGGGAGGATTGACTTCCTACAGGGCCTGGAGCCTCATCCCGGAGGCTTCCTGAAGTCTGAAGAGGGGGTCCAGGGAAAGCCCATCAAAGCCAGCGGTGCATTTAAATGAAAGGGAATCCTGTTAGGAAGTGATTGTTAACTGCACTCAACCTCCTACCTCTGAAAGCCCTGGTGGAATGAAATCATCCCTCTCTCTCTCATTGTCGGTGTGCCCCGGAAATTATGATGACTTTGCAAGGAGCTAATTAGCCAGATCCATTCAGAGTCTCTTGTGCTAGAGGGGAGAGCCTGGACAGGGTAGCCAAGGATGGGCATTACCTGTCACCCAGCCCAGCTGGACATCCGGGCAAGCTTTGTTCTCTCCAAGCCCTTCCAACCTCGTCCATCCTGGAGGAATTGAGGCATAGCTGGGGAGGGAAGGTCCAACCCGAGAATGGCCGCAGGTGGCCTCTGTGCCTGACTGTCAGGAGGCACTAATGCCCAGTGCCTCTTACCCGTGACTCGGGGAGCACCTGGGAGTTTGCCAGCACAGCATTGTATCTGGACTTACTGCCTGTGTTCAAATCCCAGCTAGGTGGCATGGGAAAACTTACTGGGTATAGCTGGGCCTCTGTTTCCTGGTCTGTGGGATGAATAAGTACTCTACCCATCTGTGTAGATGCAGCCGGCACACTGTTTGACTCACAGCGCATGCTCAGGAAATACCTGATGACATAACCTCATTGTCTGCCACAGGATAGGGCAGATGCTACCTGATGTAAAGGCCAATGAGTCCAACCTCCCTTTAAAAAAAAAAAATTGATTCAGAGCTCAGAGATAAGCTACAGAGAAACCAGAAGTGGAGCACCTGGCCAGGGGGCTTCGGAGCCGGGAGGCCCTCCAGCGGCCCATGGCAGACCAGGCAGTGAGCTTGCCGGTGGTCCCCAGAGCGTGAGGTATAACGTGGAGGAGCGCTCCCAGGGGGCCAACGTTCCACAACGCCTCTGGGATTAGGTGCGACCACATTCGCTCCCGCATCCGATGCAGCTTCCAACGCAGGAGGTGTTTTTGAAAGAATCTGGGGAAAGTAGCCAGAGTCCAGAGCAGAGTCACCGAGATGGCTGCAAGCAGGAGAATTGCGCTCCTGGAGACCAAACCTCAAAGCCTAGAGTGTGTCCCTCGCACGGAGAACAGAAAACTCGGCGAATGGGTGATTTACGCAGGGAAGTAGGTGACCAGTCTGAAGACAGAAGGAGAGGTGCTCCCCGGGCCAGGCTGCCCTGATGGCCCCACACTCTTAATTGGTCCATGTCTGCTCACTACTGCCAGGAACTGTGGAGGGGAGAGGCAGTGTCCCCAAGGCTGGACAGGTGGGGCTCGGTGGCTCCCAGCGTGCAGGGAGGAAGGTCAACCACTGAGCCTGGGGAAAAGCAAGTCCTGGTTCTGCGACTGACTTGATGTGTGGCCTTGAATAAGTCACTTACCCTCTCTGAGCCCCATTCACAAGCCTGAATATGGTGAATATGAATATTCTAAGTCACGATCGATCGCTAAGGAACTCTCAGAGATTCCTCATTGCCTACTGAATTAGCGTTAGCCCCCAGCCCCACTTGAGGGGCCTTCTACAACTTGACTGCAGACATCCTGATCCAATCCTGATCATCCAGTGCCTCCCCATTACTCCAGCTGTCCCCCCAAACCTTCCCCGGGTACCTTTACCTAACACATCCACCTGTCTTCATGTAGCATTAACGAACACCTGCTGTGTGCCACACGGAGCTACACAAGGGCCACTGGTGCTCCACATGGCGCCTTTGTGCAAACCAAAAAAGCCCCACCTGCAGTCCTGTAGCAGCGTACACACGTGGCTAGGTGGACTTCACTCCCCCTCACCCTAGGGCAGCGAATCACCTGAACAACTGAGCGGTGCAGCCCTGAGGCTGTCTTGGGGAGCCTGTGGAAAGAGAGACGGCCAGCACAGAGGCCAATGAGATAAGGCTGATGTTGGCTACACCAAAGAAGGACTGAGGACCCAGGAAAGGTTTTTCAAAAGAGGTTACACCTGAGCTGAAGTAGGACGAGTAGGAGTGAGCGAGACAAAGCGCTGGGAAGAGTGTCCCAGGCAGAGGGAACAGACTGTGGAGAGCGGTTTGCATGTGGGGAATGGCAGGAGCTGGAGCTGGCTGGGTGGCCCCGATGATGAAGCTCCACTATGTGTGCCAATGTTGGGAGTTGGGAGCTCACTCTGAAAGCTTCGTGGAGCTGCAAAGGGAGCAGCTTTCAGCTGTCCCAAGAGACCACTTGGAAATCAATGAAGGCATCCAGGATGCTGCTGGGTGTGGTGTGGGAACAGCCTGGATCAAAGAAATGGAAATGGGCAGGAAGAAGAGGCCAGGTGCAGGCATGGAGGCCAGAGTTTATTCATGGTTAACGGGGGCAAACTGGGCAGGGAAGGGGGCCCTACTGCTTAGGGGGTGCTAAGTTTCCATTGAGGGTGATGAAAAGATTTAGGAACAGATCATGGTGATAATTGCACAACATAGCAAGCATCACTAATGTCACTAGACTGTACGTGTTAAACAGTGGACACGGATCGTGGATGGTTCAGTACATTTTGAAAGTGGGGAGCAGGTGTGTGAGGAACACAAAGGAGGAAAACTCCAGAGGATGCTGGGACCTGTTATTTGTATGGTATGGAATCAAGGTAAAGGGTTTAGAATGATGTGCACGTTTCTGACTTGGATGGCCCTGCCCCTTCCACAAGAGAAGGACAGAAGGGGCCAGAGTTTTGGGGGTGGGGGCTGAATTGAGTTCAGGAGACTTTGAAGTATGTGAGAAGCAGCTACATAGAGGCCCTGAATGTTAGAACCAGGCAGGAGTGCAGGAGAGAGGTATGTGTTGTGAATAGAGATTTGAGGGTCCCCCGTGTCGTTTCAACATGGACATTGAAGTATGAGTGATGGTGCCTCCCAGACAGGGGTGTGGCTCGAGGAGAGCGGGGCTGAGGGCAGGACCCTGGAGATGGTGGGACTAGGGAGGAGGAGGAGTCCGAAGAGGCAGGAGCCACCAGGCCAGTGTTCTTCCCCAGATCATTCCTTTCTCCGCGTGCCCTAAGTGCTCATCAGTCTTCACTGCCCACCTCACTGGGCAGCTTCTCTTCTGGAAGCCGACCACCTGAAATGCTGCCCGACCCCCTTTCACCCTCCACGCCAAAAACAAACCCATTGCTGTCACTGGATCCCCACTCCCAGTGACCCATTCTTTACGGGATGTTGCTCCATTGGGTTTTCTTGGCGGTCATCTACAGAAAAGGGGTGGTAAAGCACCTGACCATTAACCAAAAGACTGGCCATTGGATCCCACCAGATGCGGGGTCCAAGCCAGCAGGAAGAAGTGGGGAGTTATCCACAGTGTCTATTTTTACATAGGACCTAGGCCACATCCCTAAGGAGACATCCTCAGACTCCACCCTAATCTTCCCACAACTGCTTGGCTGCTCACAGCAATACCCTGGTGGAGTTGTGTGCATTGTGTTCAGCCCCAGCTGCAAAACTACTGAGAACCCACGCCCAGCCAAGTTGATACAAGACTATCAGTTGAGTTTGCTTCTGTTGATAGTTATGGAAGCCACTCACTAAGCCTACGTTTTGTGGTACTACAGGGTGACTTCAAACTGCCAACTCTTCATTTAGTTGCCATTCATGGCGTCACAGTCAGTTTCAGCCCCCTGATCAACCCTTATCTCTGCACACTAACCCTGCTCCACAAGATGTATTTGGCTGTTTGAAGCTTATTGCCAGACCTGCGTCCGCAGTCCCACTCACTGCCAGCAAGTCAGTCTGGACTCACAGGGACCCCATGGCACAGAATAGAACCGTTGCCTAGCTTTGTAAAAACTGTAAATATTTGTGGGGACAGAAAGCCTCCTCCTTCTTCTTTGGAGGGGCTAGTGGGTTTGAACTGCCAACCTTTGTGTCAGCAGTCCACAGCACCACTTGGTGGGCTCTAGTCGCCAACCTTTAGGTTCGTGGTTATGGCTGATGGCGGTCAGGCCGGTTCTAGCCCATGGTAGAGGGTTTCCTGCCGGGACCTTTCAGAAGCAC